GATGGGGCCGCACACTCACTCAGGTGCTGGCACGGCCTCCGCCACGGCCGCCGCCACGGCGCGGGGGGAGCTGAGTGGCTGGGATGAGACCGGCTGCGTCTGAATGCTGACGAACTGGCCTTTTCCGGAAGAGTCTGCCCACCCCCCCCCCACCCCCGAGGTACAGAGGAGGAGGGGTGACCTGTGGCCGGAGGGCCCGGGTGGGTGGGAACAGGGCGGAGAGATGCTTCTCAGCAGGTTGGTCTGCGTCCTCCTCCTCCTCCTCCTCCTCCAGCCACACGAGGCTGCTCTCTCTCCCTCCGGGTTTCCAAGGTCTCAGCCTTGGTGCCTCCTGAAGCCCAGCAGCCTCTCCGTGTTCTGGTGACCTCGGGTGAGATTGGCCCTCACAGCGTCCTCAACATCTATGCAGGTTGGGGCGTCGGAACTTTTGTGGTTTTAAGGAGCCGCAGCCGCTGTGGTCCTGCCTGCGCGCAGGATCAGTCATTCCACTCCCAGCTCCCCGCCAGGTGGGGAGGGGGGGCCGCGCCTCAGAGACCAGGAGGACTTTCCTGGGAGACCAGCCAGGCTCTGGGTGAAAAAGGGGGTGAGGTTTGAGGGTTTTGTTCTCCGCAGCCTCTCTCTGCAGGAGCATCAGGACGTGGATGTCCACACCAGGCTCCTGAAAAGAGCTTCGTTGTTCACGGGGTACCGACCCTGGGGGTGTATTTCTTTCTCTCTCTTTTGTAACCTGCTTGCTGCGCCTCTTAGATTTTTGCAGAAATAAAATCTGGGCGTCCCGCTCCCCTCTGCCATCTGGTGGGCCAGCGTGTCGGTTTCAGGATATGATCAGGGAACAGCCTATTTGCTGAAGCTCCTGTATTTCTCTCCTGGTGACTGAAGGGGTTGCAATTGGAATATCGAGCCACCAGGGGGAGGGCTTCTTCTGACTTTCTTTGCATAAAGTAACAAGTATATGTAGTTTATGCGGGTTTGTTTGTTTTAATCGGAGATGACCAATGAATAGAATTACACAAGAAGAACACGATGTTTTGTAATTTTATTTGATCATAAAACCGAATCAACAAACCCTGAGCTAAATGTCTTTACATAGCTCACTTTCATAGCAAAATGCTTAAATTCTAGGTGAGCTCTTAAAATGAGTCATTCCAGATGGGTTCAGGATCCTGAAAATGGCTCGGAGCAGACACAGAATCACATTTTTGAAAGGTGTGTGTGTGTGTGTGTGTGTGTGTGTGTGTGTGTGGCTTCCCAATGAAATAGAAAAGAAATACAAACTGGCTTTCAGGGCCACCTGGGATCTGTACGCTCAGCTCCCTTCATCTCTAATCCAGTGGCTCTCAGCCTTGGCTGCGCGTTAGAATCACCTGGGAACTTTTTAAAATCCTGATGTCTGGGCCTCGTGAGTTTACAAAAATGGGGCCCAGACATCAGCATTTTAAAAAGATTC